GTCCGACAATGAAAATCCGTTGTATTGTAAAATTCGTTATATCAAAATTCGTTGTAGAAAGAGTTGACTGTATACAAGTGGTCTGAAATTAGCAAACTAATAAAATATCTCTAGCTTTCCACTAGTTCTCTAATAGTTCTATAATAGTTTTATGACATTACCATAGCACTATTAAGTCACTATTATAGTGCTGAGCTGAATCCTCAAATCACATATCCAAAAGATTAGCTGAAATTAATCACAAATTTACTGCGTCACCTGTCACCTTTTTTTACACTATTTTGGCATTTAGAAAGGTATTCAAATAGGCGTGAATTCTTAATAAAGAATTAGTATCTAAACTAGCATAGAGAGCTGACACTCTCATTATAGAACTAGGTATTCAAAGAAGACTGGAAAGTCAGAACTAACAATATAGATTTTATTATGTAAATAGATTAGGAATAAGAAGAAAGCAATCACTATTAGATCATGACATTATCATTAAATTAAAGCACTACCATTCACTATTTGACTATGAAGTTACTACCATATTATACAGGAAACAGTTAAAAGAATGCTATAAATGCAAAGGAGCTACCTATATGTAGGTTATGAAGTCATTATTAGAGTATAAATAATAGGTTATAAAGTTACCACCAGATCATGAAATTAGACTATGAAACTACTGTTACATTATGAAGTTACTAATATATTATGAAGTTACCAATAGACTACAGTCAACTCTTGTTATAACGAACTTTATGTCTTAGATCTCAACTTCACTATAAGGCTATAGTGAAGATTTTAAGAGATTTGATTGGCCAATTCGCTATAACAAGAGTATTTTTATTATATTTGTTCAAAAAATTCGTTATATCAAGAGTTCGCTATATCAAGAGTTAACTGTATGAAGTTACCATTATATTATGAAGCTACCAGTAGATTATGAAGCTACCAGTAGATTATGAAGTTACCTTTATAACCTAAACCAAGTTACATGTAACTTTATAATATAATTATATTATGAAGTTACATGCGACTAAAGATAATTGTATTATTTAAAGTAAATTTTCATATAATTCATAAAGGTTTGCTTTTTTTATTGTTTTTAAAAATTTTTATTAAGTGATAATCATTTTTCTTTATTATTAAAAATAGCTTATCAGATTTAAGATTATAACTAAAATTTTTATAAGTGAAAATTACATTATAAAAAATACATTTATTAATCTATATTTCCAAATGCTAAAAATTTTCCTATGCTTAAAAATGAAAGTTCTTTTTTTAATAATTATATTTTAATAAGAAAAGAATTTAAATAATGAAATTATTAATAAACTGGTTTTAAAGATCAACAAAAATGATTAACGTTCAATGGCCCGGGTGGAACCTGATTTTCTAGTGTAACGTCACGAGAATCACGTGACTAATTTTGTCAAGCCGTCGATTACTTTTTGCAAATATCGTGATGAAACACATTCTCTCTCAATAGAAAAATGCAAAACTACACAATTGATTCTACATTTTTAACAACACCGGGAGGTAGTTTTATACTGACACAATCGCAGCCACAAACGCCAGTAACAGCAACTGGAAGTACCTTTGAAATAGATCGTTTTCCAAGGGAAGAATTTTCATTTTTACCTCATATGATTCAAATCCTTGATAAAGTAGAAACGGGTAGAAATGAAATGGAAATAAAAATTATGGTACAGTACAGCTTAAATATTTTACGTAATGAAGTCCGAAACTTAAATATTTTCGATGACTTCAATTCTTTATTTTGATAGATGAGAAAGTTAAAAGGAAAGATTCATCAATGTCAAAAAATCTTGGAAGATTTACCGGGAGCCGATTTATCAAGAGAACGACAAGAAAAATTGAGAAATGAAGATAAAGAAATTTTAGAAAAAAAGAAGTTTGTAGTTTTAACTTCATAATTCTTCATCTTTATTTATTCTATAAATATATTCCTATATTTAAATGGTATTTTTTTTTTTATAATTTAGGAAAAGGCGTCATAAATATTTGGGACTACAAATTTTTCAAACTGCTGCAGCGATTTGTAATAATCAAAATAATCCCAATATTACTACATCTGTATCAACGGAAGATAACAATCATATGGATACAACAGAAGGTTGAAATAAAAAGGAATCCTTAACTGGAAATTGAATACATGAATCTCATGATGAACGTATCTTTTAATTGATCAATGATTTCTTATGATCGTTACAACACTCCTTCAGAAAGTCCAATCAGAGAACTTGTGTGCATTTTCTTGAAAGAAATCATCAACGAAGCACATGTTTCATGATGATCTTTGACTGGCGATTCTAAGAATTTTAAAATCGTGATAGATATTAGTTAATATGAGATATGGATAATTATCTAATAAACTGAAAAAAGATTTCGACATACCGAAAAATGTGAGATCACGTGATATATAAATATGAAAGTTCGTGGTACAGTATTCGTCTGCTTTGTAATCCCTTCTGTAATTACATTACATAAGATAAATTTGTAATCTACTTTGTGATAAGTTTTTACGCATATAACCGATCTCGGAAAATATGAAGAATGAACATTGTTGTTATTGGTGTCAGATTAAATTTTTTTTTTTTTTTCTTTTTTTTTAAGAAATGAAAAAGGTTTATTTCAGGGTCGATATGAAAATAGAAATTCATGTCCGAGGAGGATATTAAAATATCCGTATATCTCGTTAATTGCAAATCATTTAATCTAAAATGAAATGAATCGTGTGTACAAAAACATCCGCGTGCTTACACAAAACAAAAAATCGTTACTAAAATTATGAAATCATTAAAGTGATTATCGACAAACTCAATTATTAAGGTATATTAACCAAGGCATCGGTACTGCATTCATTACAACGGAATAATTTCGATTGATCTTTTTACCACGTTACAAAAATTTAATTAATAAAGTAAACTGAAATGAAATCATTCAATTTTAAAGATGTATCTGTGGTAATAATTTCTAATTTTGTTCTTGCCCATTAACCATTTTTGAACTCTTTTCGTCACGGAGGTTAATACGAACTACGTATAATGAACCAATCGTCTTTGTTCCGATAAAATATTTAATATGTATTAGGAAACAAAAATAAGTATTTAAAGGATTAAAAATGTGGAGGGTTTTTCTTTTCTAAAATATCAAATTCTTATTTTTTATACCTCCGAAACTTTATAACGAACTTTTTTACCTAACCCTAAACTCGACAAAAAAAATAAAAATGTTCGCGGACAAGTTGTTTGTAGTTGTTGCGAATAATTTTTTCACAATCATTTCTTTAACAATTGTAACATATGTAATTCAATTTTACATTAATTATTTTAATCGAAAATCAAAACTTCCCGGACCTTTGCCCGTACCAATTCTTGGAAATTTACATCAAATTGGGAATGATTTTCCATTAGCGGCAGAATCTTTTCGTCAAAAATACGGGGATCTGTACGAATTTTATATGGGAAGTACGCGTCATGTCGTGATTAGTAGAGCCGATTTAGCAGAAAAAGTATGGGGACCTTTATCGATTAAAAATACAAAATTCATCATGCGTAACGCATATTCTGAAGGTGTTGATGAACTTGGATTAGGTACCAGGGGAATGGTATTAAATCGAGATATTGAATCTTGGTCATTTAATAGAAAGTTCTTGGTTCAAAGTACTTCATCACCATCATTCTTACGTGAAGCAATTAAATTGACAAGTAAGGTTAATGAAGAAGTCTTTAAATATTGGAGGATCATGGAAAAAGTAGGAATGCCAATTTCAATTCCTGATTGGATGGATGTTATAGGAATTGATGTTGTTGTCACCACCGCGACGGGAAAAAGGATGTCTTCAACGGCAGAATTATTCAACAAGTTAAATGTTAATGAACAAAAATCTGAGATAAAAGGAATGTGGAACAATGGTATAAAATTTGCTGAAGCGATCTTTACTTATAATGAATCAATGGCTTTCATGATGTTGCTATCACCATTCATTCGAAGGAACTTTCCTGGATTTAAAAGCATAAATCAAAAATACTTGGATAATAAAACTTGGATAAATGACCAATTGGAAAAGATGATTTCCGAAAGAAGAAAAGAAATTGAAAACACTCCTTTGGATCAACCCCTTGAACCCTCTATTCTAACCATATTACTTACGACAAATACGGAAAGAGATTTAGAAAAGATTAGCGTTGGTAAAAATGATCAACCGTTAGCGAACGATCAATTAAGCTCAATATTACGTGAAGTGTTTACCGGTGGATTGGATACTACTTCAAATACTATATCATACGTTATTTACTTTATCGCTAAATATCGTGATATTTATTTGAAAATACGAGATGAAGTATTAAAAGTTTATGGTACACTTGATAATCCTAATATCGTACTTGAATCTTTTGAAAAACTAAAGTACATGGATGCTGTAATTCAAGAATCAATTCGCTCCTTTCCTACAATATCAGTAATATCTCGCGCTGCAACCGAAGATGTTGACTTTGATGGATTTACCATTGAAGCTGACACAACAGTTTATACGAATTTGAAAGCGCTGAGTAATAATCCTAAATACTTTACAGACCCCGAAAAATTTAATCCGGATAGATTCTTAAATGATAAAGGATCGATGGTTAAATATTCTTTTCTACCTTTTGGCAATGGTGTACGTATGTGCCCTGGTCGTGCTTGGGCCATGGTTCAAATGAAAACTTTTTTGATTAAATTGGTTTCTACATTTGATATTGAATTAGTTGATAAAAATGCCGAAGTAAAATATAAGTATGCTACAGTAAATCGTCCTGTAGACATAAACCTTCATATCAAGGCTAGAAAAGATTAAATGATTATAAGTAGCCTTTCGTTATATTAAATTTATTTTATTAAAAACAAGAACTTTTTGTAGTCCATCACGTGTTTGTCTATTTTGGCAGTTTCTGCATACGAAACAGTAATGCAGCTGATTTGCTAATTTAAATAGGTTACACGAAAATTATGTAATCGATTACATAATTTTATTTAAATTCTAAAACTTATCTACAATAAACGAAAAACCTTCTATGTGATATAAATCTAATTTAAATCTATACATTGTCTATTATAATAAAATAAAATGATTTCATTTATCTATCTATTATCTATAAATATATTTAATATAATAAAATAATAAAAATGATAAAATTAAGAAAAATACTTGTGAAAAAAAAAAAAAATAAAATAAAATTAATTATTTTAAAAAAAAAAATAATTAAAACTTTTGAAAAGTTGTAAAGAGAACTCACATGATGAAAAGTAGAATTCGAAATTTTTTTGGGGGGAGAGAAACTTAAAGGGATTTAAGAATTTTCCTTCAGCAAGAAGACGACAATGTATAAACGAAACGGCAAAAAGATTTTTTTTTTTATTTAAAAATATTGATCAACCAAGATTTTCAAGAAAGGAGATAGTTATCCTCGTCATTATTATTACTTCTGATAGAGATTTATTTTTAGTATAAATCTTTTTCTTTTAAAAAAAAGAAATATTAAAAAATAATAATTCTCACCTTGAAGCAAATTACCACAAGGTCATCGATTGTTGTTCATAGAAAGAATAAAGCTGGTTTTGGCTTTGAATCATCAAATCTATTTCTGCAATTTCTTTTTTGATACTTTCTCGAATCTTTCTCGCACCAGACTTCATCAACTCTCGGGATGTTTTAAATTTCTTTTCACCTTCCAATTTCTTCTTATTAATATCATTCCACATCATTCTAACGGCATCATCTTGGGATTTCTCCAATTCATTAATATATTGTTTCTCGACAATTTCATTATTTCTTTCGAACCAAACGAAAACTTTAGTTTCGGCTTTTTTCAAAACAATATTACATTCAATTGTTTTAATTTCCTTATAAAGTTGTTTAACTTCACGCTGTAAGAATTCTGCTTGTTCTCTAACTTCACTTGGAACTTTAACTAATTCTTCAAGCTTAGCATATCTCTTATCTTGTAAACGATAAATGGAATTTTCAATTTCTTTCATCTTAATGTAATTATAATTTAATGCAGCAGCTGCGGCCACAGCTGTTGTATACCCTTCAACCAAAAGTGAATTACTTGCTACAAATGTTGCTGCTGTGATAATCGACTTTTTATCTTCCATATGCAGTGAAAAAAAAAAATATAGAATAAGGTAAAGGTAATAAAAAAAGGAAACGGCGAATTAATTATATTTTAGCTCCTTCGTTTTAATTAGGATTTTTCTAGTTTTATCAAAAAACTATGAATAAATTTGAGAGAAAAAAGAACATTTTTTTTTTAAAAAAAAAATTCTTGTTCGAAAATTATTAGTTTTTCTCAAAAAAACTACGAAATGATTATTTAAAACGAAAATAAAGGGTAAAAGGTAGAAAAAGAAAAAAAAAATTTTTTTCCTAGGGGGGAAAGAAATCGAAAAAAAATAAATTCCGTAAAGGTATCAAAAAAAAAGAAAATCTCTAATTTATCTCAACATAGACTCCAAACCAACCAATGAAATCACCATTTTTTAATGTCAAAATAGATCGACATGAATAATTCCCATTACCGATTGAACTTGTTACACACATTGAGTATTATTAATTTTCAAAAAAATAAGAAGGCGTATAACCGCAGTTTGAAATGTCCAAAATACTCGATATGTGTAATTATGACTGATTCGTCTAAAAACATGGCATTATCTGATTGGCGCTATTGTTTACATTTTGTCGATATAATAGGAAACAATCTCATTATGATTATTGCGGATAGTGATTCAAATTCCATTTCCGCAGAAATTTTTTTTTCAGGGGTTAACATACTTACATTAAAAATCGGAAAAAATCGGATATAAAAATTTTTTTAATAAATAGATAATTGGATATATTAAAATTATAATCTTAATGTTTCAATGTTTTATATTGTGATAATATAGATTTTATAACTGTTTATAAAGTGATTATAGATAATGTGATTATAAAAGGTATTGTATTAAGTAAAATTTAATATTTAATTAAAATATTATGTAAAAAATTTGTAAGTATTATTTATAAAAGTAGAGATCTATATAAATATTTAATTTATTTTATATAATCTAAATTTAAAAACCTATTTAATTTATTAAATTAATTATAAATATTTATATTAATATTAATGTTAATATTATTTAATATAATTTTTTATGTATAAATAATAGTAAAATAAGTATTAAATTTATAATATAAAAATTTAATAATAAAAATAATTATAAATAAATTTATCAGAATAATTAAATCTTTAGTTTTATATTTAAACAAGTATAATATAATTATACTTGCTTAAATAATTTAAGATATAACTATAATAGTATAATTTTACTATAATAATATAACCTAAATATAAATTTATATCTTCATTATTATAATATAATTTTATCATAAAACAGTTATATACAAAAATAGTATGTTTTTATAAATTTTATATTATAATTCTATATATTTTATAAGAAAATATTTTTAATGAATTTTTGGTATAATAAATATATATGAAATTTTAAATAATAAAAAAATTTTAAATTGTAAAATTAAGAATAAGATAATTAAATTGCTAAATTATATGATAAAAAATTATATTGCTATATATGATAAATTAAAATATAATACTATATAATATGGATATTTTATAGTAGAAAGAAACTACTAAAAAATTTTTTTGAATTTATGTTAAATCTAAACATATTTTATTAAAAAAAATAATATTTAGCTTATAAAGTTAAAAAAATTTTTTAATAGTTTTCTCCTTTTTATTACAAATCTCTTATCCTTTAGATTATCTAGCAAGCAAATTTGCTTGTGAACTTAAATCAAATGTGTTATTTTTTTAATAAAATATTAAATATTAATTTTAGTAATATAATAAAATTTATAATACACGT